AAGAAAACGAACACACAATATTATAATACTGTATCACAAAGCATAAACACAATCGAAGAAGTATCGTTTAATTATTCGCTCTAATTACACAGAAACAATACCAAGAAACATAGACGTACCGAAGAAGCATACATTAGAGTGTATGGGAAAAGGCCGTGTGGCATTCTCGAGTGTGAAATTAAGTAAAATTATGAACGGTAGATAAGTACTGCAACATTGGAAGTTTGTTTATCGAGCGAATTAATTGATATAATGATTGAACTAGACATTGTTGTTATTGTTAAACTTACAGGTTTGTTCCCGGCTAGGATTGCGGGTGTAAACGCAATTTACCGCAGCCCATCTCGGTGCAGAAGAAACCGGGTGGTTTTTAGTCAGTGAGAGATTAACACTCCCTTACCGCTTCTCGAATACTTGGTGTTCTCATATTCTACCCTGTCTTCTGCTATACTGTGACTAAAAATGTGTTTATTATTCAGAATTCAATTTACGAAACAGAATATCTTTTCTTCCATTAAAAATATTGTACATAGTTCTTTTACTTCACTGACATTGTTTTATTTAATCCAAATCCAAACTTATATTATAAAAGAAAGTAACTCTGTCTGTCTTTTCTTCACGCCTAAACTACTGAACCAATTTCTGTGAAATTTCGTACAGACATAGTTTGGAACTCGAAAAAGGACACAGGATAGTTTTTATACCAAAAATCTGCAGGAAGTCACTATTCCACGAGAACGGAGTCGCTCGAAAAAGTTAGTTTAGACATAAACAGGTAATGATTTGTAAAACGAGTTTCTCTTAATAGAAAGAAGTCAGTTGATTCGTCACAAAAGCAACTGATAGACGCAAATTTGTCGTAAAAACTAACAGCAAAATAAAAAGATATTGTAAAACAGAGTCTTCATTATAATGATAGACTTTATCGACTTTAGTTCAACACAACTTCGGAGTTATTAGTTTACAAGTAATTGTGGGAGAATCGACATTAGTTTTGAAAACAAAGTTTGCATGCGAAAATTATATAAGTTCTCGTATAGATACTGGTCCTACCTTAGAAATTGTATCTTTATGATAAAGGGGTAGATTTCTAAGGTCTAATAAAATGTAATTGATTGAAGTACGTGAATCAAATTTCGTTAGTATTTGCCAAATCTTTTAGAAAATCTGTAACACTAAACTAACAAGTTTCTTAAAGGTGAATTAAGGTTTTTAATATTATCTTGTTAACCGAATCGTGTACCTCATCATCATCAGCCTATAGGTAAGAGCCCACTGCTGAGCACTGGCCTCTTCTTACAAGGAGAAGGTTTGAGCATTAGTCATTACGCTTGCTCTAGACGGATTGGCGATTTCAAACTTATAACTAGAAATTATAAGTCCAGGTTTCCTCACGATGTTTTCCTTCACCTTTTGTCAGTGGTGTCTAAATAATCATAGAAAGTACATATAACTCGGAAATACTTGTATACGTTCCTAATCGTGTACATACTTATATGAAAATAACATCGGCTCAAGTTAGGCGCGTGCTAACGTTCAAGCACCATGGCAATATGCAAGCATAGGAATCCATGATGATTCTATTTTTGAACGGTTCCCCTCGCCATCGCATCGGCGCGAGCGCACTCCTCGGGGAGACTTTTGGGTTTAATGTACTAATAAGTGTAATGGAATGGTAGGTAGTAATAAATGTATCGGTCTTTAAGTAGGTTGTAGATGAGTCCCCTATCTCTTGATTTATTTCTTTGAGGAATTTATAACAGTAGTTCGTGTCTTTGGTGGGTAGACATACTGATACTTAGATAGTGTAAACAGTAACTAGATACAATGACAATAACACCAATAGATTGAGGATCAGGATCAATCCTGCCTTCCAGATTTTTTTTTTATTGATTATACGAGTAGGTTCGCGCTTGACCGCTATCTCACCTGATGGAAAGCGACGATGCGGTCGACGATGGAGCGCGCTTACCTAGAAGTAACCTATTCACTCTTGAGAATTTACAGTAATTTTAAAGGGTTGTGTCAGATTTGTTTCAATAAAAAAGAAAGTAAAGTTTTCAAAGGCTACAGTATTAAGTCTGAAAGGTCCATTACCTTAGCGTCAACGAACTCAGGAAATGATTGTAAAGGCTTAAAAGTCTTATCCAAAATTACTTTATTTCAACCTCAAATTAATTATATTGAAGTAAACATTAAAATTAATAACTGAATTCAAATACAGTCATGTTAGTAAGCAAAGGTTTTTGAACTCCTAAAATTTCCTTAGCTGGCAAACTTTCAGAGTAATTGCTTGACTATACAAGGCGGCTTACGATCAGTTTCCGCTATTACAGTTAGCACGTATGTGTACACAAAACTCTAAAACAATCCCTACCGTACATTAAACTAACGGAACGTGACCACAGCGCCCTCTAGCCGCCCGACTAATAAAAAACGTAAACTAATCAGAACAACATCACGCATGGTGAAGGAAATGCAATATTATTGTTAATAAACAAAGTATTGGTTTACGTTTTGTATGTAATTAAAACATTGAAGGATTAATGAGTAAAAGCAGTTCGATTAACAATATAAGTGTCAACATATGGATGTATATGACGTTACCGTCAAATTTATGCAATGGCAATATTTTAGCATTTTTTCTCCACCGATATAACTAATATTTAATTATTAGACTTGTGTCGTACGGGATACTTAACTCTTAATCCATACCATCCAGATATCTGAGAACTAAATAACTTGTATGTTTGAAGCGACCATTTTTGTTTAAAATGTTAAAAAATTGTGTCTCATAATGTTTTTTGTTACAAACCTAATTTTTTATCAGATCTCGAAGATGCACATCGTACAATGTGGTACGCATAACATTTAACCTTTCGCCTGCCTCATCGGAGACTCCCACAAGGTAACACTGGCTCATAATATTTACCATAACCCCTATATCTCTGTTAAACAAATTGTCATCTAATTCACATGAGTGGAAGACTTATTTTCAGTGGTGTTTGGTTGTGATATACGCTTTTTTGATGTCTAAAATGTTGCTTTCTGGACCCACGTGGTGTAACATATGTTTGGACCATCGAAGGAATCGGATCCCGAGCCGAGCCGGGAGACGTGATAATATAATTTAGAGAAAATTTGTCTTTTCCTAAATTTATTATAAATTTTAGTAGCAACGTTAATGCTTATATCAATTTAATGTCGTTTAAGGCCCCTACGTCAAGAGTAACTTTTGGAAAAAGGTCAGAGGCCAGAGTTTATTTTATAATTTTATTTTCTTTTTCGCAAAACTTTTCGCTTAAAGGTGACCTTTTGTATTGAAATTGAATTGTATGTTCTTAAAATGTTGTCAAAATATAAGGAGAACTTCTTTTAAAGAAATTATAACTAGTTACGAGTCAATTTTTTTAGATTTTAACTAAGCTTTAGTGCTAAGCGCAAATCTCGAGAACGGCTGTGCCGATTTTGCCGATTCTTTTTTGGTTGTGTTTATTATTTGTAGGCAAAGATTTTTATGAAGGAAAAGATTAGAAAAGTTGGAGCGAAAATTGATGTGTAGTGACTCGGTTTTTCAAAGCAGGGGTGGGTCACTAGTAGTTATTGTAATAAATCTAATGAGTGATGAAAATAATTAATTAAATATCATTTTGATTTTATACGATTTACAAAATATAGGTATTTGGTTATATAGTTTTATACGATTTTTCAGCTCGAATAGGCCAAAGTGAAACCACGGCCTCACAGAAAACCGTCGTAAAGCAACACTTACGTTGTGTTTCGCCGTGGGAGTGAGGTTACTGGAGGCCCAATTCTCCCCCTCCCTCCCTCTCCTCCCATCCCCAATCCTCAAATCTCTATTAGCCTCCAAGGGGCCGGCAACGCACTTACTCTGGTACTACGAGGGTCCATGGGTGGCGATGGTTGCTTACCATCAGGTAATCCGTCTGCTTGTTTGCCGACCTTTTACATAAAAAAATGTGTGTGATATGTACATATAATATTATGTAAAATTAAATGTTATAAACGCACCCACGACACATGAGAAAATTCTAGTTTAGGACAATATTTCTATTAGTTTAAAAAAACCTTAAAAGTCTTCTAACCTTGACACTCTTCTAGTAGGCTATTGAAAATAATTTACCTATATGGAAGTTTTATTGAAAAAGCATCTCCGCTTACCCTTTTTGGAAGTGAAAGGTATGATGGCTGATGGCCTATTCATATAAATAAACGATGTCAACATCCAAAAGTATTGGAGTAAACATGATCAGTAGAAGAAAATAACAACTGAACTGAATATAAATTGACTCATTAAGTAAGTATAAGAATAAGTAAAAAGGTAAAATATTACAAAATTAAATTCATTCCAATACGACAAGGAGTCAATGAATCAGAAATTCTCATGAATCCAGAGTAGCGGCCCAGGCGCATACACGTGTTGCGCACATTTTGTGGGACCTCCCCGCTACCCCCTCGCACACGTATCACCACCCCCGCTAAGGGAACCGCTGAAAAAATGGACCACAAAACTTACCAGAAAATAATAATCCTTATTACGAATAAGATAAAGTCCATATTTCCACATTAACCATTTATTAAGTAACGGTGTTTAAGGGACACATATTTTTTCTTCAAATGATCGTGTAAGGTCGTTGACCTCGTTATTTGACACGTATTTTGTCATTATAATTTACTTTTCTGTGTCTTTAAATTATTATTTGTCAGCCTTTCTTTTGTTTTCTTTTCATTATTTTTTCTGATGACCAGCATAGGTGCCACTATACCGTTCGTCCGCAATAGACTATAAACTATTCAGTAAGACTTCGGATGACTTTCTTACACTGAATAGGAAACATTTCTTGGGACGATTGACAAAAAAATACCGAAGATAACATAAATATTTATCCAAGCATCAGACAATACGTGACACTGATACTTACATCGACATATTGTTTTCCATCTTAAAACGAATCGTGACTATTTTATCACCACTATCAAATAAAGCTGACATTATCAAACTGAAACCTTTGTTTTTATCTAATCAAGATTTTTTTCTCTCCCTAAGATCCTATTTATCCAGTTCTAATTTCGCTGTGGTAGTGTAACCATGTTAAAAATTTTGACTCTTTGTTCCGCCTTAGCGCTGGCTTTAAGTCAGCAGCCGCCTACGGTTGAATTGGATGGCCAAGGTACGGTGATAGGCACACAAGCAAGTGATGGAAATTACTTCGAATTCCATGGCATACCATATGCGGACGCGACTTCAGGAATCAACCGTTTCAAGGTATGTATTATTTAGTAAAATGTAGTGTGTGTCTTTTTTCAATCAATCACACACTTCCATCTCCTACTACTGCCCGGAGCCGCGGTACGTTATTGTGTTTGCACCCGCAAATCCCTAATATGAGCCACTAATAGAATGTACGCATTTACAATGTTATGTTGTGCAACAATTGCAGTGAAAAGTGCTTCATAGATTAAGGCAATTTATAATATACCAGTAGTAGTAGGAGTCTTGTATCATAGCAGAGTGTGTGTAAAATAGGTGGATTACTATGGGATACATTTCTTCAATTTGAACTTTGTTTTCTTACAGGCACCACTACCGCCACCTTCGTTCCAAACCCCATTAACTGCGAACCGGAAAAACATAAAATGTGTTCGAGCTTTAGGTGCAGGATATGAAGGCACCGAAGATTGTCTGGTAGCCAACATCTACACACCAAGTTTAGACAATACTAAGAAACTGCCGGTTATGGTATGGATTAAAGGAAAAGAGTTCGACCAAATAATCAATCCAGAACTATCGTTCCGCAATTTTGTTCTAAGGGATGTAGTTGTAGTGTCATTGAACTATCGTGAATCCATCTTAGGATTCCTATGTCTTGGAACTGAAACTGCACCGGGTAATGCTGGATTAAAAGATATTATTGCTGGTTTAAAGTGGATCCAGAAAAATATCGCACAGTTTGGAGGTGACCCGGACTCAATTACTATTGTCGGCCATGGAAGTGGTGGGGCTGCCGTCGACTTGGTCACAATGTCTCCAATGAGCAAAGGTTTGGTACATAAAGCTATTGCTCAAAGTGGTAACGCATATTCGCCTTGGGCAGTATCTCGTGATAATTTGAAACATGCTCTCGATGTAGCTGAGGCTCTTGGCCATACAATAACCACTATTGAACAATTATCAGAGGTTTTTACTAGAACTAGTGTCGGAGCTTTGATGGGTGTTATCAATGATCTTGACTTGACTGATAACTCTTTAGCCTTTGCTCCTTGTGTAGAGCGTGAAGAACTGAAGGGAGTAGAGCCTTTTCTTATTAAAACTCCTGCTCAGATTGTAAATGATGGAGAATTTTTAAATATTCCTACCATTATTGGATATGTAGATTACGAAGGCACTATTCGATCTAAAGAAGCAGTTGATAACGATTGGCTGAACCGAATGACAGAATCGTTCAGTGACTTTATTCAGCCTGATTTAGAAATCGACGATGATGAGGTGAATCAAATTAAAACATATTATTTTGGACCAGATAAAACTGATTTATATGAACAGTACCTTGAATATCATGGCGACACAATGATTCTAATCTCTTCTGCGAGAGAAGTAAGAAATCGAGCTTTTGCCACTACATCACAAAATACTTATTTATATCAGTTTTCATATAAAGGAACTCTTGGAGACGCATTTGTTGGACCTATAAAAGTTGATTATGCACCACATGGTGCAGAATTGGCTTATTTGTTCCTGGGAAGTTCTGAAGCGAATGATTTAGATATTCGTATTAGTAATATTCTCGTTGACAGATGGACCAACTTTGCTAAGACAGGGTAAGTGTTCATACACAATTTCATAACACATGTACATATGTATGTAATATGCACTGATGATGTATATGAGGATTTATAGATTAATATCGTCGTATGCGTAGAATAAGTAGATTTTCAAATAATTTCTGCGACGGTGAATGCCCATTTTAACTACTTGGTCTTAGCAGGAGATGATTAGTGTGATGAGACATTTCATACTCTCCCCTAAATAATGCGTACAGGTGCAGATATTACGTCCTTTTCGTAAATAAATAATTATTCACAATTGACAACTGAACCTTAATAACAGGTTTTTATCATTAACAATTAACTTAACAATAGTGTATGTGGTGTGTGTGCAGTAATAATTTTCAAACAAATTTAAGACAAAATATCATACGCCGTGTTAGATTTGCCGTATTTAGATATTTAATGATTATTTAAAAATGTTAGTACGATTTAGTTCAGAAAGGGCCATAACGTGGTAGACAGAATAGTGCACGTTCCTTTTCATAACAGGTGAAACATATCTAAGTATGTATTTTTTGTTACAGTAACCCTATCACCGAACACTCTAATGTAGTCTGGCGGCCTTATACCCGAACCGTTCCAAATTTCCTACGTATAGGCTCTGCAGAGGAAATTACTGGAAGGTTGAGAAGCGATACAACTCCTGTGGAAATAGGGTTGACTAATCCTCATCCAGCAACAGTTTCATTCTGGGAACATATTTACACGTCGCATTTTTTAGATGCACAGAGTAACTGGGAGATTACAGACAGGAACGAAGATCCTACTACAACAACTACAACAACTACTACAACTACTACAACCCTCAGCCCAGGTGGTATTGATGAGTGTGATGGCGATGGGGATGACTGTGGTAATGGAAATAATGATTGTGAAGGTGAAGACTGCAAAGACGATAATTCAGCCACAACAGCTGTTGGCTACACTTTCTTAATAATCAGTCTATTTTCAATTCTGAACCACTTCCATTCCTCACAGATATTATCATAGAAACAACTCAATAGGATTACTTCTATTGTTTCTGCGTTCTCAACATCAATAAGCCGTTTTGTTATTGATAAACCTTATCCCTTGATTTTGAAGAATGAATGGTGGAGTGGAAATGGTCATTTAAATTTCTGTTTCTTATAATACCTTTTATTTTTTATTTATTTATCCATAGGTGTTAATATTCCACAATCTTCTTTGGATTTCATACAGAAATTCATTTGAAGAACACACACGCTTATAGTTTTAAGTTTATTTGTTTTGGGATATTCTAATGTAACGTGAAAATTCCTATTGTTTATCTTTTATCACTTATAGTGTAGAACCAATGTAATTAATTACAGAGCACTAGTATCATATTTATCTATAATGTAAATGACACATTTTTTTACTATAAGGCAGACATTTTAACCAACTTCAAAATACGCCAACCGATTATTGTGGGCTGATTTTTCAAAAGTCAGTTAAATGTTATCTGAGGAATAAAATTGTAAATTTCATACAAAACATTCCGACGCGACAGCATCATAATTATTCCCTAAATAACTTTTATCTAACCATTGAAAAGTCATGGTGGCCCGGAGGTTAAGGAGCCCGCTTGTCATGCATGAGGGTGTGGTTTTGAAACCTGGCAAGTACCAAAGTGACTTTTTCCAAGTTATATGTACTTTCTATGATTATTTAGACACCACTGACATACGGTGAAGGTAAACATCGTGAGGAAACCTGGATTTATACCTATTACTAATTATAAGTTTGAAATCACCAACCCGCATGGAGCAAGCGTGGTGATTAATGCTCTAACCTTCTCTGTGTGGGAAGAGGCCTTTGCTTAGCAGTGGGCACTTATAGGCTGATGATGATGATCCATTGAAAAATCAGCCCTAACTGAGTTTAAATTATTATAACTGCATCCACGAAATCTTGCATCAATGGTTTACCATTATTGTCGTTCTTATGTCTACGAAATAGGAATAAAAATTGGTTGCATATACTTACAGTAAATTAAAGTTGTTAAAATGTGCTGTTTTTGTACTATGTGCTTTTACCATATGAACTTTACTACCATACGTCCGTATGGAGTTTAAAGTTCTCCTTTAGTATAAGAAATATTTGATTTGTAAGTTTTATAGAAAATAATAAAAAACCTAAGAGAAACATTGTGAGTTTTATTGTAGCCTCGTAAGATAACGATTTGGCGGTAGATGCTGTTATCGACTTTGAAATGTACTTGACAGAAGATTACAATGTCAAATCAGTTGATTTGTCAAAGATTTTGACAATGTTTAAGGACATTTTGATTACTAGAATGTTCTAAATAATATGATTGTAAATTTTACGTCACATTGATAGCATCATCATAGCAGCACATGAAAATATTTTTGCGCAATATTACTTACATAGAAATGGCTTCACAGATTATACATCTTCTGATATCACTTCAATCACTACAACTCGTATAGTCTCTCAGTACTCTTCAGTACTCGTATAGGACTGTATCCAAATACCCACAATTCTTGTAGTTCTAAATTAATCTTCTGAATTGGTTAAGTTGTTTTGTGTGTATGATAAGACAGCAAACGACTAGAGGAATTAAATGATGGTAAGCAATCAGCGTAGCCTATGGACACCCACAATAACGGAAGAGTTAGGAGTGTGTTGCTGACCTTGGGAATTTAGGAGGTAACCTCATTCACAAGGCGATACAAACGCTATGGTTGTTTTACGCTAGTTTTCTATGAGGTAGTGGTATCACTCCGGTTGAGCCGACCCATTCGTAACGAAGCATGGCGCTCCCACACTAAGTGTCCATGCGGAGACTACCATCAGCAAGAAGAAATAACAAGCGACCAAGACATCTTCTACTAGGAGAACAGAAGTATTGTGACAGTATCGTCAAAGTTCACAGGTCCCTTTCTTAGTTAGGTTATGCAGTAGACACGTGGGATGATAATGTCACTCAGACATCTTTAGCGATGCAAAGCGGTCCATATTTAAAAGCCATTTTGAAGAGGATTGTGCACGTGGATGAGATGGTTATTAGGGATTCATTAGCAGAAGAGCATATAGGGATAGAGAGTAGGGGAACGAACAAGGATTTGAGTCAGTAAGAGTCGGACACTCCTTTTCACCTCAACCTCGGAGAGGGAAGCCATTAGATGATTTTGCACTTACAAAAAAGGCGTGATTTACTACTCGTATATATAAAGTATTTTTTACAACATTCGGAACTAAAATCATAAAGTTATAAATATGATAACGAGCTATATGGAACACGGATTGTTTTATTTAAAAGTTCGAGTTAAGTATGTTTACAATTCGGTGGAAGCTATAAAGTGCAGATTTGCAGGCCTGGGGCAGGTCCACATCTGTGTATGCTTTGTACAATGTATAAACAGTATTAAAATTTATAACTTTTTTAGCATTCATTTAAAGTAAAAAGTTTTATTGTCTTTAGTGATGATGGATACAACATTAATACTAAATAAATTTATTAATAAAAAAAAGTAAGGATAAACTATGAATTGAAGTTGGTATGGTGGGGTTCTTTAGTATTTCTTTTGTTAGTGAAAAAAGTAATGTCTAATTGCTATATTAATTAACGTGGCGAAAGAAATGTACAGTTTTTAAATTCTGTTTATTGCTGATCCTTACACGTTGTCATAGTGGCCCGAAGGTACCTGCTTTTCACGCTTATTCCGAGTTATATGTATTTTCTAAGTTTACACACCACTGACTTAAAAAATGTGAAGGAAAACAATTATTTAAAGTAAGTTTCAAATCGCCAATCCACCTTGGGCAAACGTGATATTAATAAAAAGAAGGTATGACACCTCCTTTTTGTTATTCCAGTGGCAAATTTAATACAGATCCGTTCAGTAGCTTTCCATAAAAGAGTTACAAACATTTATCATAGAAACTTTTTTGTTTATAAAATGAGTAGGCATGTATTATATGATGTTAATGCTGAAATAATTGTATATAATATGTGCGGATCTGAATCATTGGAACAACAGTGCGGTACTCGTCACTCGGTAACCTGAACAAGGTGCGTCGGATGTGAAGCCACATGGCCCGCAAGAGACGGCTGCGGCACGACCGCTGTACCACGTTAGAAACATATGGAATTCCTTTTTTGTTTATATTATTTGACAAATAAATTTCAGTCTTTGAGTCAGAGATTAGTCAGAAGATTTGTCAGAGATCAGAAGAGAAGTCAGTAAGAGTTTTATTAAATTAGTCTTTAAGTGAAATTTTATCGGTTTCTTATGGGAATCATATTCATAGATAACATAAGATTTGTTGACCAAACGGTGACTTATTAAATGTATAAAAAACAATTTACAATATTTATATAATACTAGCATTGGTAGCAGCCTGCGTCTTTGGCAAAAAAATCGCTTAAGTTGATTCAGAGAATAACTATCTCTGAGCCAAATTTTCATTTAACAGATAAAACCTTATCCATACCAATCCACACGAGAAACAGTGAGCAACATTAAAAGTTTAGGGGCACGTGTGGAACAATTTCAGATGTATGCAAGAGTGGCCGCAACTAATGTCTCGGTCGGTACTCATTTATAATGTTCCTTAATATTTTATAATAAATAAATATCAATTCACATTTTAGTTTACAAATTCAATTTTTAGTTTACAAATTCAATTTTTAGTTTACAAATTCAATTTTTAGTTGGCAAATTCAGTTTTTTATTATCAAATTTGTAATTATATTTTTGAAAATTTTAATTTGAAGTGTTGACGTACAGCAAGAGTTTCAGCTAAGATATTTCTGACTTAGTCAGTTATATCACAAGAAATAAGATTGCAATATTTTTTTCTTTAATATTGACAATACTTAGTATTTTTTTTAATAAAATCTAAAGACTGACAAATTTTAAAAGAACTATTTAAAAATTGTGGAAAAGTCCATAATTCATTACAAGCTCAAATTAAAAAGAGAAAAACGACCGTCTTTTTTTCGAACATTTTTGAAAAATTACAACGCATTGTAAAAGTGTATTCTCAAAACAATAAAAATGTCAATTTTTCTTACGATGTGTTTACGACCCAGTGAAAGTTTACAGTTCGACACCATAGTTCAATTTTATGATAGTTATAAAACACTTAAGTTACTACCTTACAATGTAACACAAACAATATTTTAACGGATGACTTATAAAGTCGTTAATATAACCATAAATAGATCTATGAGCCTTTATTTTAAACATAAAAAAAGGATTTTTAGTGTATTTAAAATGATAAATAATGGCACACCTATGTAAATTGAGTAAATTTATATACGATTTTTGTGCAACGTAGGTATAATTTCGCGGGTATTAATGAGAAAAATAATTATTTAAATACCTTGGTAGGCTTGACGTTTCGACCTAGTTGCACAGGTCGTGGTTGCAAGCAGACATGAAAAGCGAAGGCTTAAAAGTTTTTTTTTTTTTAATTATAATAAAAATGTTATGATAAGTTGTTCGTACTGCTTTCAGGAGCTACCATAGGGTTAAGTTAATGATAAATTACTACAGAGGTATTACAAATACGAATTACCCAGAAAACTGTTCAATTGAATCATCCTTTCAGAATTAAAGGTACCTGAAAATGATGGCGCTATGAAATAGGAGGGTTTGTGCATGCAGGTTAAAGTAAATAGAAAGAAATTTGATTCTTACTTCTTCAATTAATGCACTTCCACAATGTCGTGTAGCATGGGAAATGAACAGCTTGCCATAGGAGTGCATCTTCTAAAAAAGATCTAAGGAGTTTTGTTGAGAATTCATAAAATCATAATTGTCAAATCTTTCTTTTATATTTTCATCTTTGTTTTTTTATGAGATAAGTTATGAGTGCGCGACTTGTCTGGTCCGATTGTCTCTAACTTTTGTGGATTCGGGTTTCGGAGACTTTCCTTCCAACCTGACTCTTTTCTGAGGCTAAGGTATCATTCCGATTTAAGCGACATATTCGTGCCAGATCATGACTCTCGCTCACTTCGAACAAACATTTTTTGTAACTAAGATAATGAAAAATGTATACTATCATAGAATACCAGATAATCACCGGCTTTTGTAAATGCCACGGTTATCACGTCGGGTGTCGCGCAGTACTGCTCATAAATATGAGATCCTAGCGTGGCTTGAAAATACTCGTGTTAGCTCGTAAAACAGTCGTGTTACAAAATGAATATGTCACACGAAAGTCATAATACGAAAAGACTTTTATAATATACAAAATGCAATACACTGCCATTTGTAAAAGCATTCAAATCTCAATCAACTTTCCAACAACAAAGTACAGAACAACGTCGGTTTTTCATTTCCCCATAGCATTTGAACTGTAACTAGTTATTTTTATCAAACGACTAAAGTTTTGAAGGCTCCATATGAAATTGACATGGGTAATAAGTTGGGTGTCAATGCCAAACTATATTTACATGTAGATT